AATAATCGTGATCGAACTATATAACCAAAATACACATATAACCAAGCAATCAAGGACATACAATACAATACAATATACTATACTTTTATGATTTACAAAGATGCACATTATATTTTATTACATGTGTGGCATGTGAATATTAAATTTAAAATTAAGTGCACAATGCGCATATTAAATTTAAAATTCAGTGCACAATGCGTATCTAGTTTTGATTCTAAATTTTTTATTGGGCAGGATATAAAAACCAATTATATAAATTTATATAGTCTTATATATGCTATCAAAATTAATTTTAACAAAGAAAAAATATTTTTTTTATATCTATATAGTTATATATTCTATATGCATATATATAAATAAAATCATTAAGATAATTATTTTTTTTTGTTAATTTTTTTTACTTTGGTTTATTTTATTATTAATTTTTTTAAGCTATATATTGTTATTAGTATTATTACGAGTATTATTTTAATTGTTATTGCTAGCTTTATCATTAGTATTATCATTAGATTTTCTTTTAAATTAAATATATTTTTTTGGTAAGTAGTCTTGCAGATTTCAGTAAAATAGTTATTTGTAGCTTTTTAGTATTTTTTTTAAAGCAATACAGTTTTCTAATATTATAAATAATGTTTTTGTATATTTTTTTAGTAGATGGTCTTATATATTTTTTTATTAGATTGTCTTGTATATTTTTTTTATTGGGTTGTTGTTTTGTAAATTTTTTTTTTAGTATATTAATTAGTTTTTTGGTTTATATTGTGCTACTATTATTTCTATTTATATTGTTTGATAGTATTTTTAATTTTGATGGTATAATTATTTTTTTAGTATTATATATCATCATTTTTTAATATTTTGATTCTACTTTGTATATACTATATATTGCTATTTTTTGGTATTGTATGTTGTTTCAGATATATTATGTATAGTTATTTCTTTTATATTTTGCTATTGCTTTAAGTATTATTATTTTTTAATTGCTTTGGGTATACTATATATTGAGTTTTGTTATTACTTTGGGTATGCTGTATATCGAGTTTTGTTATTGCTTCAGATATATTTAGTGTTGGCAAATAAAACAAAAGAATAAAAGTTCAATTTTTTGTCTTTATATAAATTTTTTTTTTTATTAATAATTTGCAATTATTTAAATATATATTGTTAGAGCATTAGTAAAGTAATAAATTTAAAATATTTTTATATTTAATTAGTAAAATTTAATACTCAAAATTTACAATAGAAAAATAAAAAAAAAGAATAGAATTATAAGCCAATAGAAAAAATATATAAACGTGACAACCCTGAATATATTATATATTAAGTTTGTTATTGCTTCAAATATGCTATATATTAAGTTTTGCTATTATAATACTATAGTTTTGCTTCTGATTATACTTTATTATTGTTCTTGTTAATAGTTAGATAATTTTTTTTAATTTGGCTATCTGCTATTGTTTATTTAAGAGTATAACTATTTGACAAATTACAAGAATCTCTTTTCTAGCTATATTAATCTATTCAAACATATAGTTTACCAAGCTTTTGCCCAATATAGCCTGTCTCAATAGTCATTAGTTTTAATTTAAATTTTTAACTTGCTAAAGACTTTTTTCTCTTCAATCTTTGGCTAGTAACTACAAGCTATTCATATTGATATTGGCTTTTCTTTTTAGTAGAGAAATACAAACACAAAATCAAAAAATATAAAAAAAAAAAAGAAAATATACTTAGTGACAAAATTCAATCTACCTAAAACATAAACCAAACAAGTCAAAGAAACAAAACAAAAACAAAGAAAAGAAAACAAAGATAGCACTATTAAGCCTATGTCAGACTATAAAAATTATATAGTACTAGTTTAAACTCTACTAATTACTATGTCTATATTTAAAACTTCTACAACATATTTACAATTCTTTATAGTTCTAGTCAAAGTTAACAATCTAAGAATCTCAATATAATATCATAACCTCTTGAGAATTGACTGTTCATATATTATTTATCCTAAAATAAATATGTACATATGTATAGCCTTTTCTTTTTCAATAGTAATTGTTATTATTGATTCTTTGATAGAGATATGCTGTATTTTTTACTTTTTAGTAAAATTTCAAGAAGTACAAAGAGTAGGTTGTTAAAAAGGGTTTGGTTTGCAGGTAGCCTTAAACTTTGATAGAGAGTGTGTTGAAAACTTGCTTGTTGTTTCCCTATTAGATAATTATCTTTTGTTTTATTAGCAGAAGCTATGCTTCTATTAAATTTTTTTGTACAAGGGTGTCAACTTCTGCTAGTTATCTTGTACAAGAACCCTTTTAACTTGCTTGCTAAATATACAGAAGAGTCTAAGAAGACAAGACAAGAACCAGAAACTCTTAATCTTTATAAAAACTATTATTTATATAGTTGTTTATCCTACTTTTTTCTAACAAGGTTTTGTTTTTGTTGGTTATAAGTTTGGTATGAGTGATCATTGGGAAGAATTGATTGTGAAAATATTTGTTAGCTGTTAATGGTTAGATATTGATTTTGTTTTTTTTTGATATTAAAATATAATAAAAAAAATTATATAATTATTGTGTAAAAATCTTGAAAATTTTGCTATTCTTATAATCAAATTTGATTGGTTAATTACAAAGTATATAGCGTGCAGATATATAAAAAACTTAAATATTTAAAAAAAACTATTTTATTTCTATTAGAGCAAATTAAAATTTTTTATATAAAAGAGCAAATTTAATTTATATATTTATATTTTTATAATTCTATTTATTTAAAAAAAGTAAATATATTAAAATTTTATCTTTTAAGTAAAATAAAACAAAAATAATTTTGTTTTTAAATTTAATTTTAAATTTTAAACCCTAAAATAATTTTATCAAAATTAATCTAAGTAACTTAGAAACTACCAAACCAATTTTAATAATCTAATCACTATTAGAACTAAAAAATCTTTTCTACAACTTTATTTTAAAAGTAAAAAAACTTAATTTAATAAAATTTTCCTTAAATTTAAAAGATTATTTTAACTAATCATATAGTTGCTTTAAATAAATCTGACTTTTAACTTAGATAATATAGTAAAAAATTGTTTAATTTTAATAAAAGATTTTTTCAAATTATTGCTAATTAAGAAACAAAACTTTTAGCAAAAGATTACAAAATAATAAAAAATATATATTTAAATTTCAAAAAAGATTTATATATATTTTTTTGAATAAATTAAATTTTAGTAAAAATTTATATATAAATTTAATATGTTAACTCATTTGATTTATAAATAACAGCAATAGAGCCCCTGGTTTAAGAACATGTTTTATAACTAATATAAAAAACCATATCTTAAAAATACTATCTTAAAAAAACAATATAAAATTTATATTTTATATTTTATATTATAAGGTAAATATAGGTATTATAATACAGATAAGTGTTTTAGATCATAACACATGATATATTGATCAAAACCAAACAATTTTAGTACCATTGATTAGTCTTATCAAGATGAATTGAATAGTACTAATTCTAATTACTAGATCACAAGATATTATTAATTAAAAACAAAATAAAAAAGAATAAATTATGGTATAACTACCAATTATGACACACACACACTATATTTTGTGATCTAATGATCAGAATCGAACGATTTTGGTATTATTTGATTCATCTCGATGAGACAAATCAAATGGTGCTAAAATCATTCAATTCTGATCATTAGGACACAAGATATAAATAATTATATATTAAATTTTCCAAACTAAAAAAAATAAATTTAAAATGCTATCAGCAAATTATTTATTAAGTAAATCGATTTTCATTATTAAGATAATTTTGTTTGTTGTAATGAATTCTACTTACTACTAAATTTTTATAATTTTTTATTAATTGACTTTTATAAAATATGCTTCTGTATTAAAAGAATGTATTATGGCGCAAAAAAGTTTTTTACAAATGTCAATTAATAAAAATTAACCGATTTATAAAAAAAAAACTTAAAAATAGGTAGAGTTCATTATGACGAACAAAATTGTCTTAATAATGAAGACTGATTTACTTAATAAAAAATCTCGTTATTAACATGTTACGATTTTTTATTAAACTTTATAAATAAAAAATTTGCTCATTGTATTTCATGATCCAGTAATCAGAATCGGATGATTTTACCACCATTCGATTCGCCTCGACGAGACGAATCGAATGGTGATAAAATCATCCGATTCTGATTACTGGATCACGATATATTACGTGTGCGTCATAATTGGTCCTGCTCATAATACCCATACTCACCTTATGCTATATCTGATTTGACTTATTAAACAAAAAATATTGTGTTTATTAGTCAAATTACCTAACACATTAAAAAACGCTAATGGCTTTATACTGTATATAGGGTTCTGCATACCCAACACGTGTCTCGTGCCCGGCATTTTCACTCCTGGCACTTTGTGCCCGTAACTATTCTCACTTCGAGCCATAAAGTTTTTGTTGGCACTTTTGTGCCTGCAGGCACCCACAGGCGCGAATTAACTGACATAAAAATGGTTCGAATTTACATAGAAACAAACTTTACATTGTGGGCACGGCACAAAAGTACCAGCCTAAAATTGCCTGATGTTTTTGTGCCTATGAGCATTGGCATGAGGCACTGGCGCCCGGTATGGTGCCTATGTACTAGCATGGGCATTTGCAGACCTCTAGCTATATATTCATTAATATTTACATAAATTTGAGCGGTGGTCATAAATAAACGTTAAGAAATATTTAATATAAACTTAACAACAAAACTCGTGGCGCAATAATACATAACAATATTTTTGTTTGCTAAATTAAATACAGTATTTACAATACGTCATTTTTGGTAACTGTGTTAATAAAATAAGCACTACCGCTACATATGAATACTCTAATATTACATAATCGGTTTGTAGAATTAACTTTAAGAAAACCACAAATAGTCCTTGATTATACATACATTTAATTTGAAAGCACCTAACAAATCACTTTTTACAACTTAGTACATTTTGATCTGTGAATAATCTAAATATTAAATATGTAAAAGTGCCGAAAAATCTAACTCCAGCCAATCCAGCAACAGACCAAAGAATAACACCCATATAAATATCTATTACTGATTTCTGAGAATGACCAAGATTTGCAATGAGAGTCACTAATATAATATTACTAAAAACCCATGACAGAACAACCTTTGTTCGAAATGATTTTCGAGCATCTTCTCTTTTTTGTTGTGGTGTAGCAATTGTTACATCCTTACTAGGCTTTCGTCTTACTTCTTGAACTGCTTGCTGATATACGTCATTAACATCTTCAGGAACAGAAACCTCAACTGTCGGCACTCCGGAGGTAGATTCAACGTCAGTAGCCTTCTCTTTCAACTTTTTTGCTGTTTCGGGCCTATTCCCCCAACTATAAATAGCATAAAATGGGAATTAGTATAATAAATATTCTTAAAAAATTATACGGTCTTAATTTATATTACCTGACATCATGAATATTACAAAAAGCATAAATATTTAATATAATAACATAAAATGGTAATAATATTATATATTGTAAAATACATATAAATATATGCCATGGATCAAACATCATAAGACTTGCGATCAGGTATAGGCCAAATGTAGAAACTAATGAAAGAATAATACTGAAAAAAGTAGTATTACTAAGAATAGCATTTGCAGTAGCAGTAGACTTTAAATCTGCATTGGGACCCAATGAAGCTACCCCAACATCAATACCCTTAATTGCAAGCCAGAAGGCAGCAAATAGCATATATATCATAATTAAACCAAAGAATACTATTGAAATTATATAGGCTTTATTAGAACTATTAAGTATAATAATTTTTTTTTTTTAAAAAAAAAAAAAAAAATTAGATCAAAACGTAAAACTTGAAAAAAATAAAAATTATAAAATTTACCCTTGAGGTCTGTGCCCTAATGCAAAGACGAATTGTACTATTATCAGTATAAGGTAAATATATTGCAAGACTATGAATATGCCATTTCCGACTTTTGGATCCCAAGGAGCATCGGGAGTAGAGAGGGCCTGACCCAAAATGTGAAAGGTCATATAAAAATTTCCCTACAAAAAAATAGGTTAATATTAAATAAATAAAAATAAATAAAATAAATAAATAAATAAACAAATATTTACTATTGCAAACCATGCAAAGATAAGGTTATATGCTTGATATGCCATTTCGATGTATAAACAAATTTTACGGCCTATAGAATGATCACTTCTCGAAATATAATAAAAATGGCTAATAGCATGAAAGCTAGCAAAAAAGGATCCATTTAACCAACGTCGCCTCTGTCTAATTAGTCCAGTGACATCTTCAGGTACATCCGTTTCGGCTTGAGAAGATTTAACATAATGCAATAACCAGGAACAATTGCGTTTTGAGACCAACTCAAAACAAAGGATACGATCTTCAGCAAGATACATATTAGCAGTGAACATGTTTTCCTTTTTTTTATCCTCATCATTTTTATCATTGATTTCACCCTTAAAATAAGATGCTAGAGGGCCTTCTTCCTCGTTTTTGTCATTGGTAGTACTCAGGATAGCAATGTACCGATAGGCAGAAAAAGCCCCGGGTAAAACAGTAATATACCCAAACACAGATTCAAATGGTTTATCCAGGATGTTGGACATCTTATATTCAAAATTTTGGGCTGCCACAATTGGATTCAATAGTTTCTTCCAACCTTTACCTTTCATGGTAACAATTTCACCGCAAGCACCTGCAACACTTGCATTTACATCAAACGACTTCCACAAACGATAGATGGATCTAGGACCTTAAAGGGGAAATATTAAACATTGTAAAATAGATTATTGATCTATAAAAGCATTAAAAGAATAATTTCTCGAAACATTATAAGGCAATTACATCATGTGAATAATGGTAAATTTTAGCAAATTAATTTCTAACCTGGTTCAGTACCAACATCAATAAGAACACATATGTTAGGGTTAAGAATTGGGCCAAAGGCATTAAAGAACCATCGATGAGAGTTGATCTTTTTAGCATTTTCCTCTTTAAGACAAAAAAGCACTTGGACTGGAACAACATCAGAGTCCTCATCGAAAGTTTTAAATTTCATAGTATGGTCAATTGAAATCTGAGTAGTATACTCAAATATATGAGCATTAACGGATTCATCTTTTACTTTGCCTACTACAACACCATCTTGGTAGATACCAAGAGCCATTAAGTAAGCTAAAGAGCTTTGCTCTATATGTTCACGACCATCAGCAACTATGCATACGACGACTTTCTTCCATCCATCTTCACCCTTAAAAAAAATTTTTTTGAATAGATTATATAAAATTCACAAGATTTAAAAGTAACTGTAATGATAAAGACTCGTTTATATACCCAAACTCTAGACTTTTTACGACTGCAAAGGTGAGCAATATTTTTTACAACTCCGTGAAAAGTGCGGGCTAACAGACCTTTATCTTCCTAATACCACAATATATGTATACATTTTACACTATCGTTATTAAATAATAATAATAATAATAATAATAATAATAATAATGATTAAATTTTCCTACATTATACATAGTTAACACGATAAATAGTTCGGTATGTCTTGGAGGAGCAGCTTCTACTTGACGAAGACTAAATCCTTTCTGCTTAAAATCGTCAGGACCACTTGTACATGCGGTATATCTCATATGAGTAAATTCCCTTGATTCATTCCTAGGAATACTCCCGAACAGATCAGTAGGTATGGGACACTCCAACACCAAATGTTTTCCATCCTTTAATGGAACACGCTGTTTATTGATACGGCGAGCCTGTATTCTAGGAGGTTCATCCCAATGCTTTTTAGATTTTTCAGGTTCTATATTAAGTACAGAATTATCATTGCTATCAAAATTTTTATTTGGTGGAGGAGGAGGAAGCTGTTTTTCTTGTATAGGTGGTTCCTGGATATTTTGAATATAACTTTGTTGCCCGGGAGTACCACCTTCTGGTATGTATATACTTTGATGATTTTGCATAGAAATAAACCACTATGAAGAATCTATACAATTACGCATAAACAAGTATTCGTTATTAATTGAGATTATTTATCTGTTAACTTGTTTTTATCCTTTTTTTTAAAAAAAAATTTCTTAATTCCAATACTGAACAATCCGGGGGAATTCAATGAAAGAATTCCGAGATGTTACAAATATAAAAAAAAAAACTTTATACTAAATCAGCTGTTCATTTCAAATTTAAGTTTGTACAGGTATTTATAGTACTAGCAGAAAATTTTATACGTATGTAACTATATTACCTAATAAAGGATCGATATAATTAGTAAAATTTATTTTAATAATATTCATTATTCATTGAAAATAAAATACTTGACACATCACACAAAAGCACATACACCATACTGAGAGAATATTCTTAAGGAGTTTGTGATTCAGCAAGACAATCCAACGGACTTAGACAATGTGGAGCGATAGGATCATTGTAAATAGATTATCTATCAATATTCGGACTCTATTATGATGAGATTTATTATTCTTAATATAATTCATCTACGATATTTTTCTTCGCTTTTTCCCTGAAAACTTCAGCACAAATACTATACACTTTGACAAGTATTTGATTTGTCCTAACTTTTATTTAACCCATAAAAGTAATTTAATCATTTCCTGGGCAAATTAGAATTCCGGAGATCATAAGACTTTGAATTCGGAACCAAATATCTAACACTAAATAACGATAAATAATGACTAACCATAATTAGACTCGGCTCGGACTCGGAGCTTGAAAAAAACTAAAGTCAAGTTACTTAAAAAAGAGATTAGAAATATTTATAATATTAAAGACAAAATTTGTTATTTATCAGCTTGTAGAATAAATACTAAGATGCAGTGTTGTTATTGGACATGTTTAATTAGACATGGCTAATTGGACATAATAAGCCCAAGATAATGACATATGAAATCAATGTTAGAGCTAATTAGACTTAATGCTAAGGCTAACAACGTTAATAAAAATCTTTGTGCTAGAACCGTCCTAGTATCGCCCGCAAGGAAAATGCAGCTTACGTCATAATTAAAGCTCAAACTTTTTTTTTCTTTATTTATTTATTTATTTTTAAAGTTACTGTTAGAGATTGGAATCGATGAGTTTCGAGCATCGTTTGGTCACAAATTCTAGATTTTCGAGCATCGATGAAAAAAATTTAACCAAATATTTGAGTTTTTTAAGATGTCAAAAGGATACTACATAATTACATATAAAAAATTTAATGCTATCAATTGGACTATTAAAATGATCTTGTTCTTCGTTGATTTCATATTATGTTTTAGAAATATTATTACGCCAAATAATTTTGGATTTATAACGTTCTTTTCACACTTGTAACATTTCCTGCGTCCGAAACAAACGTACTTATTGCAAGAATTTTCGTGATATTTCACTTAGAATTAGAAAACGCCGTTTTTGTGAAGACCACCTTATTGAATTTCTTTGTCATGGTTACTATGATCAATCAAAGTGTTACCAAACCCAGGATGTTTTTTAGATCACCATGTATTTCCGATTTTGTTTTTACAGAACTATTAATAACTGCCTCCTCTATAATTTTGGTTGAAACATTATTAATATAAGAATATATTTAGTATTCACCGGAGGTGAAATTCACCATGATTTGGTTTTAATTTACAAATAAGGGCCCGGAAAGTGAAAATAATTACAAATACGGGCCCAAATTAAAAATAATTAAAAAAATATTACATAAGGGCCCAAAATAACTGCGATGTTATTCAAGCCTGTGGCTTGATCGCCATTAACATAAGAAATGTAAGCATCAATAAATGTAGTTATTAAGTGCATAAAAAATGTAATGGTCGATTGTAAATTAGTAATTTAAATGAGAAAATTTTTTAAATTTAATAAATTTCATTTTCTTTGTATAAAGTTGCGTATAACAAACCACTACGTATAATGCCAAGTAAAGCACTGCGAATTTGCATGACATTTACTAATATGGAAGATATTCGTTCTATAAAGTTGCTTATTGTTATAACAAAACCATTATGATGCCAAGTAAAGCACTGCGAATTGGAATGACATTTACTAATGACATTTACTAATATGGAAGATATTCGTTCTACGTAGAAAGCTATTCTGTTGAAACTTCTTTGCCTTATAAATAATTATGCTATTTTAACGCTATTTTTCATAAAACAATTGAGATCACGTTTTTTCAGCCATCAATAGATCTGGGCCCTTATATGTAATATTTTTTAAAAATTAGGCCCTTATATGTAATTTGGGCCCGTATTTGTAATTATTGTCACTTTCCGGGCCCTTATTTATTTTATCACAGATTTTAATCAAAGTTAAGGGTAGGTTTTTTAGGGTGCTGAACATTTTTTACTTAGTATACCAAATATTGATTATTAAAGCATTTTTGAGAAAACAACATAAATTTGTAAACAAGATAGATGAACAAAACGTTATAGATAGACAGATTTAGAGTTGTACTATCTTGAACGTGGAATGGAAAGCTTGGAACAAGATAGGGCGACATTTTGAAAAACATAATGGACCATTAAGGAACTATACCCACCCCCGGTGAGCGTTATAATATAATTATATTCGCTCTCTTCGTTAATATAGAGAACTCTACGAGAACATTGGCAAAAAATGCAGTTTTTATTTAAAAAATTTATCACTATCAAACATACCGTACGCCATATACAAGACCGGGTCTCTTATATTCCACCAATTTAAGACCTATAATAGACCCCAGCTATAGTACATGGTTAAAAGCTTATGTCATTAAAGAAAATTTTAAGGAGTTTGCATAGTTTTTAACTTATAAAAAGCAGTCTAGATGTTAAAAAAAAAAAAAGTAATTGATTATCATTAAATTTCGCGATTTGCACCTGAGCATAGTACTTAGGGATGGGCAATTATACGATACCGTATAATAAAAATGGTATAATAACCGTATAATTGGTATAGTATAATTAATAAAATACCGTATAACTGGTATAATATTTTAGTGTAACAAAGTTAGCCAATAGAAATCAAGATGAAATTTTTCATAGCAATGAGTGAGCACGTGACAAATCTATATGTACTTTCTAGGTATTATATATAAGGTTTTATACGGTAATTATACGGTAAAGTAACCTGGTATTTATACCAAAATTTATTATACCGTATAATTTCCATCCCTAATAGTACTGTACATAGGTGGGTTTACTATTATGGGGATCTTGTATACGATGGTTAAATTTTAACTTTGACCGATGCTCGGTGATTGATCGAATTAAAACTCAATGAATGAAGCTTATTTCGATGCTCCATTAAAATTGTTCTTACTTCATGATCTTCAAAATGAAGATATTGCTTTGCTTTCATATGTTATAAGGCAATTTACTATATCTCTATATAAAGTGGTCAAATTTGTTTTTGGCATGCCACTGGGACAGCATAAAAAAACTATATTTATAAATATCTATATTATTATAGTATTAGGCCATGCAAAATTAGTTAATTGGTTTTCATAACCCGGCCGGGTCAAAATTTGGAAACTTGCAAAAAAAATTTTTATGTTTTAATAACCGGGTGGGTTTTTAAAGCAATTTTTAAATAAGTTTTATAAAATTTATATATATGAAATTTAAAAAAAAAAGCCGGCCGGCCGGGTCTGTTTAAAAGTTTCGTGTTATGAAAATCAAGATATTAAATTTATGTGGCCTTACAATTGTTAATAATACAATATTTTATGGCAATGCCATAACACAAATTTTGACAAAAGGCAGCCTGTGGCATGCCAAATTTTTTTTCACTCTATCTCTATAGTGTCAAAGGTGTAACGTAACACGATCAGAAAATTCGTTTTGTCAAAGGAACCGGCTTTAGTACTCTAACAAAAAGTTTTCTTTGAGCGATTTTACTTTTTAATTACTCAACCTTTAACCTTATTCTAAACGCTAACCCGAATTTTAATAAAGAATTTATGCTGCGCCACAACCTGAAACACATTTCAGAAACTGAAAATTAAACCGTTTTAATACTGTATATGGGTGAAAACCAGACTTCGGTCATATAAAATTTATATGATCGAAGTCTAGTTTTCCCTTGGCGTCACCCATATTATTGAAACAAGGCAGTAAAATAGAAATCACTTCTGATACGAGGAAAGATTTGTACATATCGTACCTCAGATTAAAAATTAACGTAGATTTAAAATTCGTTTGAGATGCATCAATTTATTTGTGCGCCGGACTGAAATACGACAAAATAATAAAATTAATAAAATGGTTTGTTTAAAAGCTTTTGCAAATAAATATTCTTATCGACAAAACTTTCGATACCTTTGTTAAACAAAGTATTAAAATTTGGCATCAAATAAGCTCTGACTGATCAACTCAAAAATCAAGAACATTCAAGTACGCTTCAACGCAAAATTTTAGATAAATTATAACCAAACATTTAAATATTGTCTTGGATGCAGATGAATCGGAACTATTAAATGTGAAAGAATTTCCAAGAGTTAGATTGAAGCTGTTTTCATAAATTCTGGAACAGCAGAGAGTTAAAATTAATGAGTTACCGATATTAGATTCATTTATCGACGATGTTCAGTTGTCCTGAAATTTATGAAAACAGCTGTATACTGCATGAAAGTAAAATAGTGGCAAAAAATAATGGAATTACTATAGTGGAAAACATACTATAAAAATTTAAATGTGGATTTTTACAAACTCAATATAAAGTTTGGGCCTTTTCTACTGCAAAGGTCAGATATCCAATTTGATGCATCTCAGTCCAAATTTTGGTCTGACACAACTTAGTTTAAAAACGATTCTCATTTCAATCTCTCACACGTCACACATATAAGAACTAGAAATCTATTTCGCGCAATTTGCGTGAGATAACGAAAACGAAAATTGTAATTTTAGTATAACGGTTTCTAGTGATAAATTACTATTAACAATGGAAATGAGGTTATAACACTGACAAAATCCTTTAAAGTTCA